TCAATTGTACGTGAGACACATACGGCATATAAAATTGCTTATATTCTTATAACTGTTTGACGAGGTAACTCGACTAGTTTCTAGCCACGCTAGGGGCTCATAGATATTAGCAGCATTGCTGAAATGATGACGTTGAGACCAACATCAAACAGTTACGTAAGTAAGCCACAATGAACAAATAATTTGATAACATTTAACTTAAGTAAGAATGTAAAATACGTGATTTGTAAACTTGAGCTCATACTCTCACGTGGTGATGATTAAGAGGGTTTGCCTAGGTATTAGTATCGTGATTGGATCTTATCAGACATAATGTTACGCCGGACACACAAACAAATTGACGGACATGATAACAAAGACAACAGTCGTGATTTATTCGACAGGAACCTAGATTCTGTCAAAATATTTTCTATATACTTACATGTAAGGAAAACTGTATCGTGACATTTTCTGATAACGTTTGGGATTACAAGATAATAGGGAGATACTTACGTATGTACCTACTTAGTTGATGTTTGTCATTGTTTGGCTGCCTTGGTGGTCGAGGTGCATTAGTCACAGGTACTCTACGACACCGTAACAAAATACAGTATGCATTTTACTTATTTTTTTATAACACACATACGTGTACTTGCAGCTTTGCCCGTCAATTAAAATCATCCTTATGAGTCATTCTGTAATTCTGTCATTCAGTAGTTTTTGAGTATATTCCAAACACACAGATATAGAGGTATAGACCGTAGTCCCGGAAAGACGCAGTTCGGGACTTTGCCTAAGAATGTATTGGATTTAAAAATACGACTACCACCTAATTAGGTCTTTAACTACCTATGTTAACAACTGATGGAAGCGATGCATAAGTCAGTTAAAGATTTATAGTCGTAAAAAATCTATGTTCAACGCTGTATTGCATTTAGGTGCAGCTCACAAAGCTGAAGTGCTGTCAATGAGATTAGTCGTGAGCACAGCAATAAAAAGAGAATAGTTTGCAACATATTAAGCTAGAACAACTTTGTCGCTTGTCGTGATTTCAGACTAAGTATTTGTTCAAAGTAAGGAGGTAGGTGCGAGTCGCATTCGTGCTTGAAGAGTTCCGCAACATTATCCCTCTTAGACACTATTTAATTCTTTATTTTCAAACACTTAGTTTGTTGAACTAGATGTTTCGGGAACGACTGTCTAGCTGTCACAGTTCCAGCCTGGTAACGAACAGACGGGCAATGGATACTTACTCCTTTTACATATCAATATTATATTTAGCTAGATGAGGCTACCGTTTCTTAATGCCTACTCTGGGAAGAAACACCGAAAGAAACTCAGAGAGTTTCTTTCAGAGTAGGAGTTTCTTCCAGAGCCAGAGCTCTCTATCTCTTTTTAAGTCCAGAAAAAGTAAAAAAAATGGGTACGGTTTCAGAGGACTTCTTATATAAAGTTCAGATTAAGAAAAGAAAATTAAGGAATTCCACGTACATACAAATACTGGTAGCTATTTCATTTGAAGTGGTCGACATTGGCACAGTTACTCGTATTATGATGTCCAACGTGGCACGAGTAACATTAACTTATCTCAAGTAGTGCGTAGATTACAACAAAGGAAAGTTTTTTGATTAATGTTTACAAGTGCGTTAGAATAATCCACGTTATAAAAAAATAAAATACATACGTACATACTGCATCAACTGAGAGATGTATATCTATTTTATTAAGTGTTTAATAAATACGGAAAGACACCGGATTTTGGATGGTATCAAGATAAATATCCTGCGGTGTTCGAGTGCTGAAAAGCATGACTTGCTGAACAATTAAATAGCCCCCGGTTTGATTCAGGTCGAAAAAAAATATTTCTTTAGGTACCTATCTTTTTTATTTACAAAATAGGTAGGTACGTGATATTTTGAGATTTGAGAAAATTGCGAACAATCCTATTGTTGTTACGGCCGTAGCATCCAACTCTCATTTTTTTACATTCTTCACACAATCATTGATGAAGTTTTTTCCACAAAAATAGCTTTATCGAGTACCTAATTAAAATTCAATTCACTGTCGTTATATTTCTATGATTTATTGTATTACATAACAATCAACGAGATTCTTGAAAAATCGAGAACATTAGTTTAATTGATTTGGCATTCCAATAAGTACACAATGCATCAGTAACAAACAAAATAATAGACTTATTTATGAATGTTTTGGTGACCACTAATCGATTGCCTCGTTCATTCATCAAACGGTATCGGAGTCCTAGTATCGAATTCCAGGTTAGATAAATTGACGAAGAACGAAATTGTGCGGGATATGGGACTCATAACGTAACTGTCTAAAATGGGAGTTTCTATTCATTTGCTGAATTCCCCTAACTTAGATTAAACTTTAAATTATGTTATATCCTTACAATTATATAACAAAGTAGTTTCAGTTATATGTGTTATGAAAATCCCATCTTTTATTCATGGACTGATGTGCAGAGCTATTAATCTACGCGTACGCAACTCAGTGTTGTCCCGTACGTCTTGATTTCCTTTTGTCTAGCTATCTGTGGGCACACTGGACATCGTGGGTGGTGATGTCTTATGAATTCTACATACAATTTATACGCTCCTTCAGATTATACTCAGTGGGTATTCTAACATTACGAACCTCTAGATTTCACATTAAGTTTTCAGTTAAAATGTGATTTTCTATGCTAAAAATGCATAAACGATTCCATAAGAAATATAAATTATATTGTAATTATAACATCAGATGTTTTTTTATACCTAGCTAAAGACATAAACAAATAAAACAGTTCTATGTACATATTTTTATAGGTAATATTAACTTTAACAATGAATCATTGACTTGTAGTTGATATTTTAGCTTCGCGTCACAACTTCGCAAGCTCGTCTTAATCGCCAGAGTAACCAACAAATGTCCAATGTCCACACAATATGTAGTGTGTACATATATAGTAATATGTTATATGGTATCTATATAGTTACATATGTATCGGCTTCTGTTATAAATATTGACTTTAGAGGTGCTAGTTGTTAGAAAAATACTATTTTTAGAAACGTGAAAACAACTTAGAACAGTTTACTTATATGGTACCTATTAGTTATATTACTTTATTGGTTTGCATTTAGAATTATTCTCAGTACCTAATAGCATGGAGTCTTGAATTAGGTGTCCGGCAATTAGGCTCTTTCCCTATGGGGTAACAGGCATTTTTATATTAAAACTCTCGTGAGACAGATACTAAATTGATTATTATGTTTTCGTTTTACTTACGTAACTGTTTGACGAGAAACTCGACTCACAAATATTTAAAAACACAATTACCTAATGAAATGACTTGAAGTCCAAATGATCAATCGTTGACTGCGACCAAAAGGCCTTTACAAAGATCTCTTAGAATATATTTTCTTAAGAATATTAAGGAAAAGTTTCAGTGTAAACAATTTCAACATACACTTTATACCTCTACATAACCTCACACCTATCTCCCAAAGGGGTAGACAGAGACTATGGGACGCCAATAGCTACAATTCTTACATACCTCTTTCGCTTCATCATCACTTTCGACACTTTTCCTTATTAGACTAGGGCAGTTAGCGATATATTTTGACGAAACAATATTAGATAAAACTAATGCTGAATAATGTCGGTGACGTGGAATGTACATATTTTTGTGATGTGCGTTAGATAAAGTTTAAGAAAAACAAACATTGGATGCTGCCATTCTGAGAGGTGCGAACAGAATCCACGCACAGATACCGTGACACTTATCTATATGTATGTACATACGTACAAATACATAGGACACATAGGTATATGAACAGAAGTATACCTCTGTACCTACTGGGTTGAAGGTACATGCATTGTTAATTTTGCTCCAAGTTTTCGCCTAGTTTTTTAAGGGGGTCGCGGAAGGTTGAATTAATATTTAAAAAAAAAAAATAAAGTTCCAATATCTATCTAGAAATGTTAACAAAGCCCTAATTACTCGAAAACAAACGAAATGAAGAGTACGGTAAAACGGGGTGAATATATATGGGAATGATGCGAATAGATACGTAATATGAAAAATTTTCTAGTTCAACCCCCTTTCGTCTCTATTCACCCTTCGAATTCTATTCGACCCGTTTTACCCGGTATAATCCTGATACGGGATGGCTCATCTCTTAATGCGAAACGTAATCTTCTTTTTCTCTATATTATAATCGATGTCTCACACCAGAATCAACCCATTTTCTTAGGCTCGAAGGACTGACGGCCACATGTGTTCGGGTCTGGCGACCACAGAGCTTTCATTGCTTGCTTTTCATATGGACAATTGATAAAATTGTTAACTTGTACAAATACGACGTGGCAAACAGTATTAAAGATCATGAGACCTCAATAATTGTTAAGTGGAAAGAGCTACCTGAGCAACCAAATGGTAGATACAGCACAATAGGGACGGTGAGACCTGATGAGACACCTATGTCTTAGACTAGAGAGAATGGATGGTAAGACACCATGATAGTTTCTCTTATCGACTCGTGCAGGATCTTACTTAACATACATAGTTATTTAGGCAAATTCCTGCATCGAATATGTCACGAGCCACTGTTTGGACTGTCTGATGTACTGTCTGGACTAATAAGGGAACACGATACTCCATAAGCTGGCGGAGTGCCCAGGGTAGAGAGAATATAGAATTGATCTCCTGTTATTTTTTTATTAAGCTTGAGTATCAATTATGCTTAAAGAACTTAACGTTATTCAAATAATATAAGATTTATATTATATTCTTATAGGGAAGTACAGAAACAAGAATTTTATTTATCTAGATGTATTATGCTCGAGTGTTCTTTGTCAAAAAGTCAATTAGGCTTATGACTCTACTCTTTTTGACCTTATTCATCTACTTAGAGGGATGATTATGTTGCAGTCTTTTAATTGCTGTTTGTATAGGTCACAAAATATTGCATAACACGATAACAGGATTAAGAGTCATAAATCTCGCAGAACTCTAATTCTAATAACGCTTAGACTGATCTAGTTATCGAAATAAGTAGTAGAAGGATTTGAAGCGTTATCAGGGATCATCCAGTCAGGCCGTCAAGTGGTTGTATTTCAAATGGTTTAGATAAACTACAATATAAGTAGATACTTAGATCCTCGAAGAAATGGATCATTCAATGCTGATATCGGAATATCGGAAACACATACTTATGCTCGTTCTTTAGTTTTCATTCAATAGTTTGTGCTACAGTGTGTATTGAAGTGTTTGTGTGTGAGTACTATATGCCTATTTTACTATATATTACTTCTGAAAATATTATTTAGTTTTTTTTTTATTTGTTTTGAAGAACATTTAATGCTGGTAAAATTGAATCGAAGTTAACTCTGTGTTACACGTACTACGATTAAAATCGATTTTTTTTTAACAATTGTATTGAAATTATTTATTATAATATATTTGCACGCCATTACATTTATAGATACTATGAGATTATTAATATATAAATCATTTAAAACTAAAATATAAAATATTTATTAAAACCTTAAAAAACTTTTTTTTAACTGTATTTTTAACATAAAAGACGTAATTCAATAAAAAAATTCAACTGTTACTTTTGTATTACCAATGACATTTATATTTTCTATCTCAACATAATAACACCGTTGTTCTTTTAGTTTTAATTAACTGTGATAAAACTAATTTTGAGTAAATAGACAGTAAATACTTAAAATGCCTCTATGATATGTTGGAGGTAGTAACTCTAGGAGATGTAATCTTTAGTTTTATACAAATATCTTTAAAAATCCGTTTAAATATTTGTACACAGGTTTTGCTGCAAACAAAGTGGGTACTCTAAATATATTACATTTCTTACGGTCATAGATATAATAAAGAAGTTTTCATATTTCTGCGTGTCTGTGTTACGGTTGTCTATTTACCAAAACCAACGTGGATTATATAGAAGTCTATGTAAATTTCTAGATGATTCTTTAGTTTAACACTAATATTAATTTACCGTGGCTTCTTCGGTTTTAGTTTAAAAATGCGAAATGTTTTTAACTGTCTGTCGGTTTATGAGACACAATAGAAAAGACATTGTCTCGCGTAGATCTGCGTTACAACATTTCCCAGGATAATGGTTGATCGACCGTTTTACCAATATTTTGCAACACTAATCAAGGTGAATAAAAAATCGTTTATACACAAAAACTGCCAAAAGATGTTAGTAGTTGTCCAATGTTTACATTGTTATACAATTATACTTAGTAATATATAAAACTAACATCACTGAGAAACTTATACTGTAAAATTGTCAAATATAAATTTAGGATGAGTACAATTGAGGGAGCCGGAGGTAGGTTTCAGTAAAGACTTGTGAATTATTCTAGATAATTATGTATTTATTTTTAGTTTTCTCTGCATGTTTATTTATTCTCTTATTTTTATACTTCACATATACATGTAAAAGTACTAATAAAACAACCCTGTGTATTATAATCCGGAAAATATGTTATTATTTTGTACTCTACCGTGATCTTCATGGAGCCTCAGTCTCAATGTTTTGAAAACTTAAAGAAGGAAAATCCTGGACTTGTGCTTAACTTTGTTTTAAGAATTTATCATAAAAATAATATCTACAATTCACTTAACATATGAGAAAAATGATAGCTATATATGTATAGAGGTATATAAGTACCTACAAAATAAGAGCATGCCAATGCTTTGAATTTTTAGTTCAAGTTATTCTGATTGCAAGTACCACCATATCATTAATATGGTTGTACGTTACATATCGACACGCGTTAGTTTAGTGTCAAGCGACAAGCAGGACTGGTACACTCAGAATTGAGATGTAAATTAGCTAGATCAATATAATATGTTAATTTCTAACATAAACGTACTTGGTACTTGTGATATACTGAAATGTAATTTATACTGCTCTAGCACCTATACATATGTACATATAGCACCTCATGATATAAAGTGGTTGTTGATCCCTTGGGTTTGGGTTAATAGATTACAAATAACTTGAAAAAAGATATATTAGTACCTACTTGAAGTTAGGTTTCGAACCCAATTTCATTTATTTATTAGAAAATTTACATATATAACACTACAGCTTACGCCATTAAGTTACACTGTTAATCTTATATAAATATTACTACTTTATGCATGAGATACGTGTCGTAAAGAGGACCTAATGGGTTACCGGGACTCCGGCTCGGAGGGCAGGGGTAGGAACGGGGTGGTTATTAGTCAGTAAGAGTCTGAGACTCTTAGAACACACACTTTGACACACAGAAGTCATTTGATGATTCTCCCCCCTTAAAAAAACCTCCGGGTCACCACGATCGAAATCCAACAAAGGATATAAATGATAACGAATACGGAAGAAGGAAAAATATAAATATTCGTTCTCATCTTTGGGCGGGGGCATACCAGTACCAGCTTCTTCCTCTGGACCACATTCAGCGGTGTGCCGTTCGGATTGTTGGATGTCGGGATGTATCAAACCGGCTAGACCCTTTGGCAATGCGTAGAGATGTAGCCTCGTTGTGCATTTTCTATCGCTTGTACCCTGAGCTAGTGCTTTGAGGAATTGTTTGACCTGATACCTGCCGCATCTTTTCGCCATCGACCCTCACGACAGCATATGCATCCCCATCATATAGATGGTTGGCAGGCCACAACTGTGCGCTTCTCACGTAGCTTCATGCCTCGCACAGCAAAACTGTGGAATGATCTGTAGTCGGCGGTATTTTGGAACCGATACGACCTACAAACCTTCAAGGAAAGAGCGTACCTATTCCTTTTTAAAAGGCCGGCAACGCGCCTATGTCTCCTCTGGTGTTGCGGGTGTCCATGGGCGACGCTGATCGCTTACCATCAGGTGATCCGTCTGCTCGTTTGCCTCGTATTCCATAAAAAATACGTATCCGTAGTGGACAGTAAAACTAAAACTTAATGTCTATTCTGTAAAATTATATAAAAGTAATTACAAGTACTCAAGTACCTAGTTGTCGTTAATCATTATAATTATTTTTATTTTACGATGCGCCTGTTTACACGCGACTGTACTCGTTTGCCTTCACCGCCTTAAGATCATTTTTATTTAAAAATGTACTTACGCTTGTTAGGTAGTCGTTCAATGAAGCAAAATCAATGAAAAGGGACTTTATTTTTTATTATTCATATATTATATTATTTTGGTAAATATTGATTGTATCTTCTTGTAAATTAGACTTCATTCATTCGGTTCGGGTTTTAGTACAAAAAAGATTAGTGATGTCAGTCTCATGATTGTTTTTTGTTTATAAGTTAATGACCTCGACTTGTCAAAGATTGCCTACGGAAATTTAAATTTTTCACTCAACTAGAATATATGGCTATGTCTATCAACTGACCATCTTATAGTTACTATAATATAAAGAGGAAGAGTTTGTTTTTCTGTTTGTTTGAACGCGCTAATCTCCGTAACTACAAGTCTGATTTGAATAATTCTTTTTGTGTTGGATAGCGCATTTATCGAGGATGGCTATAGGCTATAAAACATCACGCTACGACCAATAGGAGCTGAGCAGAGCGTGTGAAATCGCGCGGAAGTAGCTAGTCAAAGATAATACAAAATGTTAAATACATTAAATTATATTTCACGTATGGTAGATATATTTTAATGGAAGATATTAATACTGTATCGAATTGTCTGTTATAGTTTGAGATGACAATGCGTTCGTGTAATTTTTTTCAAAACGCGTATTTTCTGTTGCCTAGCTTCATTAACGTGTCGTTCAAGGTTAGTTTATAAATAGTTTAACATAATCGTAACGTAACGTAAACTATTTGCGAACAATAGATAATAACAGTCGTTAGTATTTAGGCGAATGTCTGATAGGTACTGTCCATAAAAACGACATCACATGGAAATTTGATCATCATGATATACATATGTATTTATTTTTTATTCTCATTGTTAAAATGGCAATCCATTTAATTGAAACTAACCCCAATACAACTTCAAGCAATCATCATCATCATCAACAGCCTATATATGCTGCTGCTGAGCAAAACCTCTTCTCACACGGAGAAGGTTTGAGCCTTAATTACCACGCTTGCTCAATGTGGGTTGGCGATTACAAATTTATAATTAGAAATTATAAGTCCAGGTTTCCTCACGATGTTTTCCCTCACCGTTTGTCAGTGGTGTCTAAATAATCTTAGAAAGTACATATAACTCGGAAATCGTCACATTGGTACTTGCCGTTGGTAGGTTTCGAACCTACAACCTCGCGCATGAGAAGCGGGTATCTTAACCTCCGGGTCACCACGACATGCCACGTCTTGAAGCAATAACATTGATATAAAAATTATGATATTGCAAAATGCAAACTTAACCGGAGCTGGGGTTCAAACATTAGACCTTGTAATCGGCAGTCACTCGGATAATAAAAACAGATCTAAAAATGCAATTCTGGTCATGTGACCATGACCTACATTAATATCACAGTATTACGTATTACTTTTTACGAATGACATATCTAACGATACAATTGTTGTTTCAGGAAAATGGAGAATAATAATACGAAGAAAGTTGACATCAGTCACATCAGTGGCAATGCCGTGTCCTATCACCATGACGACAAGTAAGTTGGCTATAATATCATCATCTACACATCTGTGCTCGCGCACTGCTTTGGCGCAAACGGTACACGGTTTAAGTAATAATGTAGTTAATCACTTGCAACTGAACCCTATATTTATTCTCTATAAGGAGAAACGTCCCGATTATAGAACTATGAAACGCATTCCCAAGTTTTGCGCCCGATTGTAACCTGTTCTATGTTGCCTCCTAATCACTTCTGCTTGTCTTATCTACTGCCTATATAATTTCTAGTTAAAACGTCTTGATTTCATATTACATATAGATTTAAGTATAAACAGTTTAGTTGTAGTTTAGCGGCAAAATCCAGTACATAATATAATCTGATTATGTACTAACTTACTTTAGTCAACCTTCTACTTTCATTTATTTGACGCAGTTAAGTCATGTATCTTTAAACGGACCTGTGAGAACCGTCCAGTCTTCGCACCGCCCTGTCTCGTCGGACCAAGGTCTTGATCCAATTCTGTATATCGTCGTTTGAAGGAGCTAAGGATTATTATATCATTGACACACTGAGACGAAGGTCAGGTAGATGCAGCAGACAATTGTGACTGCAGTAGCCCCCTGTCTATTTATATTGAATAAACGGGTGCATTGTTGTCCACGCAACTCCGATGTTGACCGTGTCAGGTCAATACAATGTAGCTGGAGTAGTAATCTTGCGTGTTAAATATATCTTATTGCTGTTAACAATTTAATAGGAGCTCTTGATGCACGCTCGGTCACCCAGCTAGCAAATTGGAGCGATGCGATGTTATCTGAAGGACTTAGAAATATTGTAGAAGAGAAGAATACAAATAGTCGTTTATCCAATTTAGTCAGAGATTTTGCAGTCGACTTTGTGTCTAATGTTTTGATCAGTTTCTTGTATGGTTGGGTTTTAGTTGTTTTACATATTTTTACCTACTCTTTAAATAAGCACGAGGTCAAGATCCTCGAGATGGGTGTGTTATTGTTATTATTGTGTTAAGAGATTACTTTTATATACAAACATTGGTTTATATTGGCAAAGGGGGTGTTTTCCATAATAATGAGACCAATAAGAACATACGACTTAACTTAAAACATGTAGAGCTTGGTGCTAGTCACACCTAGGCTGATTGGCGGTGACGTTGGATTAGAAGGGTCGCAGGTAAGAATTCGGCCTTCGATATATTCGAGGTTAATGAACCTTGCGCTAACTTAGCGCATAGCTTAGAATCTAGCATTAACACATACAGTATTTTTAATAAATGCGTTTTCGAAATATTGTCTGCCACGAGATAGTGTTACAGAGCGATGTTAATTTGCTATTACAATTTCAAAATCAAGAGTTAATTTCGAAATCCTTAATGGCTGTGTGAAATTTAGATGAGACTAAATTTGGGATTTCCTATAAGTATTTTAAAAGTATTGAGTGTACCTTATTGAATCGAGCAGGTTTAAAAATAAATAAGGAAAACTGTAAGTAAATTAGGAAAAAATAAGACCTTAATAAATAACAACTCATCCCATTTCAGGTCATTGCTAAAATTACAATTTTGTTTCCGACTTGCAATAATATTTTGTATCGTACTAACCTTCGTATTATTATTACAAGTATCGGCAAAGTGCGGGTACATTTTCTTGATTAACTGACTTTTGTCCGTGTATGCGCAAGCGCTTAAAACACTCGTCTTTTTTCCGTTTCTATAGTAATTTCGAAAAATCGTGTCTTAGCAGTCGTCCTTTTGTCCTTCCTTCCGTCATTCAGTTTTCTAATAACTAGTAGTTTTGGCTAATTATATCAGTAACTGACTGATATCACGGGGACTGTGGAGGACGTCCTCCCACAAAGCATACGTATACGACCTGATTAAGGTCGCAGACAGCCGCTGTATGCAGGTCGCTTTCAACCGGCATGTCTGGAAGTCATTGGGGGAGGCTTGTGTCTAGCAGTGAATGTCTTGTGGCTGAAATGGTAATGATGAGGAGGAGTCATTGATAGTGGCCAGCAGGTCAATTATAATTACACTACAATATACTCGGATATGTTAGTTCTTTTCATTGTATTATAGACTTTATATAAAAAACTGAGAATTCTAAATACAATATTCCCTGTATATATTCGAAAGAAAGGAATACGTTGACCCGAGTCTGTACCGCGGTCCTAGGTGCTGTTGTTTACGTTAAATTGTTAATTAGGTAAAAATGTATCAGGTACCTACCTATATATTGTATAACAGATTAGCAAGTCTTAAGTAAATAACCAAATATCTAAACCAGAGTAATAGGCTGGTAATATTCTGTAATTAAGCACGATTGGTTAATATCCAATTAATTACTTTTGAACCGCAATGTCTGTAAACAATAAGATTCTTAAATTCGTTGAGTTCTCGAACTTTGTGGAGATTTCACTGTTATAAAATGATATCAAGGAAAATATTATCATTAAGGCCTTATTGTGTAGTTCACTGAACATCTCAAAATAAGAAGAATATGCATCTTCATTCATAGGTAATTATACCTATGTATTTATTTGTTCGTTTATGTCCCAGTCCCACATTGGTCATCTGGTCAAGAGAGCACTGAGATTTGCGTTGCCAAATCATTCTTTGTCTGGGGTTCGAGTAATAAGTCACACAGCAACATTTTTCGGGCGAGTTGGGAATAAAATGGGATTGTTTAAAAAAAAAACGTTGCCCCACACTAGGATTTACTTCTGTGTCGTGAGTGCGTTTACAAACATATATATGAAATCTCAGTAGTAGCACGGAGTCTGGAAATGTGCCCGGTATATGGCAATAGGTTCACCCCTTATTACATAGGACTCATAACGTAAATAGTGAAAAGTGGGTGTTACCAGTCTCTTATCATGTGTAGAGGTATATCTTCAATAAGCTTTTGGGGGGAAAAAATGACTTTACTCCATTGTCATCACAGCTTTTAATTTTACGGATATAACATAATAGTCGTAATGTGTGATTGTTATTATAGCATTATATTTGACTAATTGCTATTACATAGGACATCATTATATAATAAAATGATTAATTAATGATTACTCTTATTGTACAATATTCCCACGGTACGTATATATTTACTTAACTCATTGTTGTAACGATGATCATTGCAGTGGATGCGACAATGACTACGAGATGAGGTTATGATCGTGCACACAAAATGATGATAGCTATTAAATGCTATACAAACCTATATTCGATTTACGTGAATTGTAACACAAACGGTAGAAACATTACTCCTTAGGATTTTATTTACCCGGGTAGGAATAATAGAGGTATTTTTCAAATAGCGTGCTTTCCAGGTTCGAAGGGTTAATCAGTTTCTATAATTATTTTCGTTTTATTATATCTAGATACTGTTGATAATGATGATGATCCACCACGTTTAGCGATATAGGTTTGCGTACTCATACTGTTCATTTTTAGCCGTCATATATGACGATGAGGGATGTAACTTATTCATTAGACTTTTATAATATAATTATACTAGCAGCCTGTCCCGGCTTCACACGGGGTAGACAATTATTTATTATGGAAATTTGGATTGTTGTAGTGACATAACTACAATAGTTGGACACATGTTACCGCGGAGTTTTTTGTAGACATTATGATGTTCTTCAATATTGTTGTACATTATTTTATTCTATCGCTAATAGTTTCGGCAGCGCATTCGACGAAAGACATTTTGACAAATTGGAAGAATGTAGCATTCTATTGGTGAAAGAATATTTTAAATCGGCCCAGTACTTTTTGAGCCTATTCATCACAAACATACAAACATACAAAAATAGGTACAAATCTTTCCTCTTTATAGAGGTAATATTAGTATAGATAAATAAAGTTTGATTAAATCATTATCATGAATAACGAACGGATGATGATGATAACTGCCATAAATTAACACTCTCTAAAGCTAGCTTTAATAATATACTTTCTGGAATATAGTATTAATTATATAGCAGGCGGTGTACACATGCCTACGACATGTGCTTGACTCAAGGTCGCTAAGTTTCTACGAGCTGTGAGCACGTGCTGCATTGACGAAACAATATAATAATATAATATATTTACGAAACAAGGGGTTTTCCAAAAATATTGCAAGATTTTAAAAACAGCAATGATACGACGTTGATTTGTAATGAGTTAACTCCAAGGCTAGCTTAGTTTTATGTAAGGTTTGTTGCAGCTAGCTCCGGTATCGCGTTACGAAAACTATTCGATTGGTTTGATTAGATCATTCATTTCGGAGACTAGTGCCGTTTGATATTAAAGGTGCACAAGCAGTACCTGCAACTAAGTTATTGTAAACGTGAATAGGTACCTAGTTAAAGGCAGATATGTGTGGGAGAGCCATGCTTCGGCACGAATGGGCCGGCTCGACCGGAGTGATACCACGGCCTCACAGAAACCGACGTGAAGCAACGCTTGCGTTGTGTTTCGTCGTGTGAGTGAGGTTACCGGAGGCCCAATTACCCTCCCCTTCCCCAATCTCCGCAATTCCTGACACCCCCTCCTTTTGGGACGCCAGGAACACCTGGAACACCAGAGGCGTTATACTTATAACGCCGATTGCTTACCATCAGGTGATCCGTCAGCTCGTTTACCGGCTTATGCCATAAAAAAAAATATATACTAACTACTGTCGATTGTCGACCCATGTTTTCTAAACTTCTGAATTTCTGAACCGGTATTTGGAAAGTGGATTAATATAATCGCAATAACTAATAAAAAATATCATGATAAATTGTGTCTGTTAGTGGCACAAGTAAGAGCCAGTAGTATATTGGTGTGGTGTAGCAACTCTTAATGCGCAGGGGCAGGGTCGGCGGCGCCTCTAATGCCGTACTCAGTTGCAATGCCCGGTTGTGTAGCAATCGCACCGGCTGTACCTACACGAGATCGAACCCGGGGTTCCGTGGCGAGGGTGTTGCACAAACCGCTCAACCAAATGGCTATACTTATTCGTCATCGTTGCGATATCATTATTGTTACCCACGGA